CCTAGAGCAGATCAAGCCAGAAATATCCCTGGAGGCCAAGATGACAAACTTAGACTGCCATATTTTGGGAACATCATGAGCAGGCATGAATAATTGGAAAAAACAATAATGTTGGGAAAGGTAGAAAGAAGTAAAAAGAGAGAAAGGCCCCATGCAATGAATGGGCTTTATTAAACAGACCATGAATATGAGTTTGCAGGAGCTGGGCAGAGCAGTAGAGAACACAGGGGCCTGGAGATGTCTCATCAGCTGGGTCACCATGGGTCGAGAGCCACACAAAAGCAGTTGACAACAACAACAACCAGAATGGCCACTGTTAATCAAACAGACAAGCTTGGACATGTTGGCTGGAGGATCCTGAGAGTTTCAGAGTCACCTTTCTAAGCTCTGGATAATAGATATGGATGAACATACTGTGTATGCTCAGATATCCTGGATATAGCTGGCACCAATTAGGGTGCAAAGGGATCTTGTAGCATCTTTGAGACTAAGGGCCTGTACAGACCAGTCAAAAGGGCTGGTGTGGGGGTGGCGTTGGGGTGTGGTGACCACATGCCAGCCACCCCGACTCTGCCCCAATTCCACCCTGACTCCACCCCAATGCCACTGTCATGCCATGCTCCCCACTGCACTGCGGGCAGTGTCAGGGCACTCCCTTGGCACAGCGTACAGACACGCTGCACCAAAGGAGTGCAGAAAAGCTATCGCTGCAGAAATTGCCAGATTGGGGCTGTGGCATGCGGTTGCTGAAGTCCCAATCTGGCAAGGAAATCAGAAATTGCCAAATTGGGGCTGTGGCATGCGGTTGCTGCTGTCCCAATCTGGCAAGGAAAGGGGTGGTGAGACGCTACACCTTAAGGCCCGTCTGTTTAGCCCCATAGAAAGAGAAAGAAGTTGATAGCATAAGCTTTCATTGAATTATGTCTACTTCATCAGTTGCAATTAGGGTGGTTATGGATGTTAGAAGAAGTGCCAGTGTTACCACTTTCTGGGTTCTAAGGTGCCAAATATAACTACCTGAATATTGCACAGTTCACAGTATAAGCGCAAAATGTTTTTTTTTAAAAATGCAAAAAATTATATATTACATTTTCCTAAAAGTTCCATGCATCCAGTGTGATATCAGTGCAAGACTTTACTATAGAACTGTTCTATGTGTGCTTCTCAGTCATATAGCAATCTTGGAGGCAAACCTTAAAACCCTAAATAAAAGATACAGAATAGGTAGAATTGCATAAGAGAAATTTTGTTATAAGGAATTTATTCTTTTGTCCCCTTCTTGATTCATAAATGAAAATCTATTACCTTATTCAAGGAGAAAAAGACCTAATCCTTATCCATGCGAATGCAGCTACTCTCCTCAGCAGCACCCTGTTCTTTCTCAACAGAGCTAATAAGAACATCCCCTGCTTTAGTATTTTCCCCACCCACTGGGTCAAAGAATAATTCATATGAGTTACATTAGCAGTTTATAGGACGTGCTTTTGGGCCTATTTGTGGCCACTTGCTTCACAAGCTATGTTTCTCTTCATATGTAACTGGCCAAGGGTTGTTCGGATTTCTCAAAAGGTACACAAGTATCCTTTGCTCACCAGTGTGAGTACATGCTTTTGTATCTGGAGCCAAGCATATTCTTAAAAGGACACGATGGCCTTTGGAATCTCAAGTAAGTTTCCCATGGAAATGAAACGTAGACCTGAAGACATATAAAAGACTCAGGTAATCCTAAAATAGAAATTGAATGGGTTTGCTGATCACTCCGTACTCCCCCCCCCCAGCTCTCCACATACCAGAAACAAAAGGTGAAGGCAGTAAGCTAACACTTTCTACCTGCTGTGTTCCCAGCCAACTTCCCTATCCATTTATCCTAGGGTTGTCCTAAATCCAATCACTATTTTTCTCACTCCAAAATTAAAGCAATCAGTTATTCTAGAATCCTTTTGTTGCTTCCCTGGGAGATCATTAGGTCTGTGTTACATTGCAAGATAGCACCTAGCAACCCTCGAGGCTACAATCACAAATATAAATATCAGTCCCAAACCTAGCCTCCTTATACACAGCTGGCCCCACTCTGTGCTCTATATGCACAGGGAGATTCTTCCATTCACTGTGTCACCTTCAAACCCTGTCTGAGCCACATTCTGCTTTCTGTAGTCTCTTCTCCAGTACAGGTAAATATTATCCCCTCTACACCACTAAAAATTCCAATTGCCATACCTCTACTTCAGTCAACTCTGAATGGTGTATATGTTTGCTATCATGTGTTTAATTGCACTCTTGCATATTTCTAAATAAAAATATTATTATTCACCCAAACTTAGGGCCAATGCAGACCAGCAGTTTAGGCTGGCCTGGGGGTGGAGTTGGGGCAGGGCAACTGCACACCAGCCACCGTGGCTCCATCCTGACTCGGCCCCAATGCCACATGCCCATCCGCATGGCATGCGGTGTCAGGTATCCTCTTGGCGCAGCGTGCATATACACTGCACCAAAAGGATGCAAAAGAGCCATGCTGGCAGCTCTAAGGGCAACTTTTTGCCACCCCAAAAAGGAGTGGCATTTTGCCACTCTTGGGGAGGGGCAAAAAGGAGGATCAGGGCCATGGTGTGTGATTGTTGTAGCTCAGAGCTGTCCCTTATTGGCCGTCTTCATTGGCCCTTAGAGTTCTCCTCAGTTAGTACTGATATACATAGGTGGAAACAATCCTCATATTACCCGGCCTCTAACATGCTTCTTTAAGTTAAGCAAATTCTCCCAACATTTAAAAGAGAAGCTAACACATCTGGTGGGGCCCAGTACATTTGGAGGGGAGGCAAAGACTTCCTCTAGGACAGGACATATAGTATTTCAAGCATCCTTGTTAAAGATTTATTGCTAACTTTGTCATGAAACATTCAAGGCATTACAAACTGCCTGTCAAATCTAAGGTATCTTTCAGACTTTACAGAAGTAGAGAAGAACAGAAGTATGAATGTATTTGCACCTCACTGTCTTTTCACTACAGTGA